GTCCTCATCGGACCAGCCATCGCCGTTCGCTGCTCCTCTCCGCCGTCGAGCCACTGCCACCCCAACTCCATCTCAGACCGTGTAGCACTGCCCCCGGTCCCCCAGAACCTCCCGTCCCCGGCCTGCTTTCCAGCCAAGGCGAGTGCACCTCTCGCCGGTCTCACCCTCCGTCCGCCTCCGCCGCTTGCCGCCACTGTCCAGCACCCCAAACCACCACCACCACCAGCTGCCATTACGTCCTTAGATCAGCCCCCGAGTCGACTCAAACAGCCACCTACAGCTGCTCCTCCGTCGCGCCATCCACCGCCGTTCTTGCTCGCCGTTCGTCCTCGTCGCTGCAGCTGCTGGTCCGCTGCTGTCCAGGCCACCTAGCCGCCGTCGCCAGCTGCCGTTCACGCCTAGATCAGCCCCCAAGCAGCCCCGACCAGCCACCACAGCAACCGCTCCTTCACCGCTCCTGGATCGCCGCCGTTCGTCACTCGTAACGCAAAACCGGAGCCGCCATGAGCGAGCTCGCGTCGTCGCCGTCGTTCTCATGTTAACGCCATCGTTAAACGAGTAAGTTAACCCCTAATCCCTCGTTTAGGGTGTTAAACTTGCTTAGGGTAGTTTAGTTTAAGTTTATGGCTAGTTAAGTGGGATTATGCGATAGGTTATCAGAAAGTTCGATAAGCTATGATTATTTGTGTGATAGGCTATTATTGGGTTTGCGATAAGCTATTGCGTATTTGTTGATAAGTTATCAATTATTTTATTATTATTGATTATTTTATTAAATATATTAATTTTCGGAATTAAATATTAATATTTTATTATTAAAAAAATACTATTAAAAATAATTTATTTCCGAAAATTAAATATGCATATTTGAATGATTTTTAATAGCAAATTACGATTTTTATGCTTGAATTATGATGCTTATGCTAAGAATTATTGTGTTAATTAATTAGTATAGCTAAATGATTATAATAACTATTTTCAAGAAAGGATTTCGAATTTTCGAAAATGAATATTTGTCATCGCTATGTCTACAAAATGAATTTGATGTCTTGAGAAAGAAAGCATGTTTGAAATGAGATTTACAAATTGATTGACCGTTTGCAAGTGTGACCACTTGGTTTGTTATGCGGCATTGTGTTAGCACTATTCATGGACGCATGGGCTAATTGGAGAGATAATAATTGGCCGGAATGCTTGCGTGCTCGTGTGGTCACACGTCGGAGCCGTCTTGCTGTAGATCGCTTGACGATGCCCGATTTATCGAGGTCTGCTGCAGATCGCGCTCGATTTTATCGGATGCCTGGAGATTATCTGGATAGCCGATACTCCGGATGCCGAATCGCGGCCTGATGGCGGATTCGATGCTCCTTACGGGATACCATCTTACTGTAGATCGTTTGATGTTGCTATATTGGAATGCCGTCTTACTGTAGATCGTTTGACGTAGCCGTGCCCGACGGGGCGAGACGGAGCCCGGTTATGCCGGAAGACTGCCATCTTGCTGCAGATCGCTTGATGTGTGGTGGCCCCGAGGGGGCGTAATAATTGGAATACGTGTGATGCATAGTGCCTGATTATGTGATAGAAACTGCTAGGCATGGTATGGGACGTGCCCAAGTGGATTCTGTCTTATAATCGAGACACGTGCGCCTGTGATGCATTGATGCATGGGAAATCTATTTAAATGCTTCGAGTATGTGACATGTTCAATTCATCAACGAGTGTATCAAGGCGAGGTAAGGATACATGTGGTTGTTTAATGATGTTGTTGTTGATGCTATATTGCCTGGTTAGGGACCCCCGAGGCGAGTAGGCCTCCTAAGCGGGGCTGAGGCCGTTAACTTATTGAGATTTTATCTCATTTGTTGTTGTTAAACCTTTTTCAGGACCTTAGCATGTCATTGCTCCCTATGCAGTTTGGAGTACCGTAGTTTTTGGTTGGTCCTTGAGGGTTAGGCCTGGAAGCTGATCTTTTGGATGGAGTAGATTAACCCTAGCCTTTATCTTTTGCTGGCTTTTTGTGTAAACGCCCGAAGTGGGCTTGTAAGTATGTTCCCAGGGTTAATCGATAAAAAAAAATGGCTTTTGTTATGACTAGTTTTCCTCTACTATCCCAGATTTGATTATTGTCTGGGGTTTGTCGTGTTGGTTATCGCTTCCACTTGTGTAATTCAAAGATAAAAAGAAAAGGGTCGGCGACGAGTCCTGGGTCGTCGCATCTTAACGACCATAGCGGGATGTTGTATGTCCGTAGGGTTCGGGGCGTGACAAGTGCGGTAAAGGAAAGTAAAGATAATTAAAAGATAATATTTTGGTTGATCTATCGAGGGTCTTATCTGAAGAGTACGATGTGGCTATTTAAAGCCTACAATCAACAGTTATCAACGGAGGTTACACACGGTTACTAAAAAATAAATAACTTTCTAACGGCTACAAGAAGTTACAAATAAAGGTTACAAAAAGAAGTTACAAATAGAGGTTATGAATGGTTACCGAATGGTTATCAATGGTTACGTTGACTCCACTATGTCGATGGTTTCTTCGATTTCACTACGTTGACGGTTGCTCTTTTTACGGTTGCATCCAATATTGTTGACTCCGCTTTTTGTCAATTCTTTCAAGTTGGCAAATCGCCGATCGCACTCAAGCGATCGATTTTTCAAATTTGTGGCACTTAATTGAGCGAAAAAAAAATACGTTATGACACTTAAGTGAGCGTTGTACGAAAGTTATGATACTCCTAGTGTACTTATCCCCATGATTTTCTGATCGAACCTTATAGGGTGGCTTACAATAAATTAAATGATTTGATTATCCAATAGCAAATGCTTCTTTAGGTCGCACATCTTTGCCCTCATGTCTCTGTATAATAAAAAATTACAACAACCCTTGGGAAAGCAAAGATAGAGCTTGTCGGCAATGGTTAAACTTATTGAAACCTTGCGGTGGTGCGAGTTGTAGTTCAATTATTAGATTAGTGTATTTACTTGGAAATTCATCCCAGTAAATTCTGTTTATGCTCTGCCATTGGGGTAATAACACTATAAGTACCCGAATTTTTGTCCATTGAGGTAATATTATTTAACCATAATATGTACATGCTGGGGATTGTGGAAAAATATACCAAAGGGAGAAAGTTTTCTAGGATATTGGTCCGAGATTATACAATAGAAAATCTATTTGCATCAATACTAATTTACTATTGTTAACGAAAACTCTTATCCGAACCAAAAACAATTGGAGAGTGATCGAGATTGCTCCATGGTTCACGCTCGACCACAAAATGCACCGACAGGGGCGGGATGGAATGTTGAATTTACGTGAATCCAAGAGCGAGGAAATTTATTGATAACTCAAAATGGTCAAATGAATATAAGAAACCCTAACTAACATGGCCCTGTTGTGGTCAACATAGTCGACAACGACTACTACAGTAGCTTCGGTCTAAGTTTCGACAGCCTTAACATAGAGAGAGACAGAGAGATCACACGACTAAATTTAAGAGGTGCACCGAACAAGGCAGCACAACTCCTGCTGTAGGGCACTAAGAAGAATAGACAAAGCCGTTCTCCGACTTTTCCTTTGCATATTTAATTTATGCATCATATCCTACCTTAATGCCTGAATAAATTATTTGAGTTTTTATCCGGATCTGTTCGGAGGAGAAATTATCCAAAAAGTTATAAACTTATTACACATTTGTCAGTGGCTGGGCGAGGCGGGGAGGCTCGACCTCGCCAGATCTAGAGAGTTCGAGCCTCCCGCAGTAAGTCGACAAGGAAGAGTTGTGCGAGCTGTTGGCAAAATCTTGCACTACAAAAAAACAAGGATTTAGCCACGGAAATTTGCAACGATTTATTTTTCGTGGCTAATTTGCGACGAATTTTTTTTTCGTAGCAAATTAGGCACGAAAAATTATTCGTCGCAAATTAGCAACGAAAAAAGAATTCGTCACAAATTTCCGACGAATTTTGCGACGAAAAAAAATCCATGGCTAATTTGCGACGGAATTTGCCACAAAAAAAGAATTCATAGCTAATTTGCGACGGAATTTACCACGAAAATAAATTCGTGGCAAATTTGCGACGAAATTAGCGACGAATTTTTTTCCGTTTCTAATTTGTGACAAAAAAAAAATGTCGTCGCTAATTTGCGACGGAATTTGCCACGAAAAAAAATTCGTGGCAAATTTGCGACGGAATTAACGACGAATTTTTTTTCCGTTGTTAATTTGCAACGAAAAAAAATTTCGTCGCTAATTTGCGAAGGGATTTGCCACGAAAAAAATCCGTCGCTAATTTGCAACGGAATTTGAGACGAAAAAAAATTTGTAGCTAATTTGCGAGGGAGTTAGCAACGGATTTTTTTTCGTCGCTAATTGTCCGTGCTACTTGTAGACCCAATTTCTCTCTCTCCCTGCTAATTCCTCTTATCCTCTTGACATTTCGCCTTCCTCTCCCTCTTTCATTTTTCTCGATAAATCTCTCCGCATGCGCAAAAATCTGTCTCGGTAAACCTTTTCTATCGGTAAGTGGCGTGACTAATTTGCGACGAAGACGGTTCGTTGCAAAACTATTTACGAATTTTTGTTATTTTATTGAGTTTTTTTCTTCTCTTTTTTTTCTGACTTCGTCGCCGGTCACCAGTCCGGCAACCGGCGACCGGCGACCGGTGAGACCTCGTCGGCCATGGGCGGGGCTGCTGGACCTCGTCCAGATCTGGGCGAGGCCGCTCGGCCTCGCCATGGCCGCTGCTCGACCTCGCCGCAGAGGTCCAACATGGCCGCCGCTGGCCTCGCCGCGAGGTCCAACGGCGGCCATGGCGAGGCCCAAGCTCGACCTCGCCGCCCAGATTTGGGCGGCGAAGTGACCTCGCCCATGGCCGGCGAGGTCCAACTCGCCGGCCTCAGCAGGTCGCCGGACCGGCGATCGGAGAAAAATATGTAGGAAAAAAAAATTCGGGAAAAAAAAATTCGAAAAAAATATTTATTTAAAAAAAAATTTCGGGAAAAAAAATTATTATAAAAAAATAAAATCTGAAGTCAAATTTTTTTTTTGTAGGTACTTATCCGTTTGAAAGTCTCGCAGATGAAGTGAACGTTGCAATTCTCATCAAATTGAGCACTTTCTACTACAAAGATTTCAGTCAAATACTTGGGTAAGTCTTCTTGACATAGTAATTGTTTTATTTTTTTCAATTTTAAAGTAATTGTTTCGGCAAAAACAAAATTTTAATTTTTAGAATTTTATGGTTTTAATTAAGAAAATTTTTTGGTTTTAATATTTTACTAGATTTTGTTATTTTTATATAGACACAATGCAAAGAGACAGGGCTTGGATGTATAATAAGAACTTACCTGGACGTCTAGGATTGACCGATGAGTTTCGTACTGGGTTGGAACTATTTTTGGACTTTGCTAGTGGTAAATATGAGTTAATGGATGTAAATAAGTAAAGGTGTCCGTGTAGGAAGTGCAGTAATGGTAAATTTCATGTGTGTGATACAGTTAGAGAACATCTTTGTAGATTTGGGTTTACTCCGAACTACTATAATTGGACTTGTCATGGTGAACCATTTATATCTTATGAAGGTTTGCGAATAAGTGGCCAATTTTCAGTTAGGAAAGAATGTAGCTATTATGATCAATTGAACCCATACCAGAGGATGGTGATTGATGCAGCTGGTCAGAATGTTGTTTCAGATCTGAACCATGCAAGTACAAGTACTAGTTTTACTCCTACACTTGAACAATTGGAAGAGATAGGAGTAACAGGTTTTGATAAGAATGTGTGTAATGAAACGTTTCCATCTAATCAGTTCTGGGAAGTGTTGAAAGCAGCAGATGAACCTTTATGGGCAGGTTGTGACAACCATACTCAGTTATCAGTGACAGCAAGATTGTTAAATATCAAGGCAAAGCATAATGTGTCTGAAAATTGCTTTAACTCTTTTGTTGAAGTAATGCGAGAAACAATGCCTCGTGATAACATCATGCCAAGTGATTTTTACGATATGAAGAAGTTAGTGGATAACTTAGGTCTTCCAGTTGAAAGGATTGATATATGTAGTAGGGATTGTATGTTATATTTGAGAGATGATGAAAATGCAGAATCTTGCAAATTCTGTAGCCAACCTAGGTACAAGATAAACAGGAGGCATGGTCGTAATCAGAAGCGTAGACCATGCAAGCAAATGTTTTATCTACCCTTAATCCCCAGATTGCAAAGGCTTTATGCGTCTCAAGCCACTGCTGAACACATGACTTGGCATGCAAATCATGAAACAGAAGAGGGTCTAATGTGTCATCCTTCAGATGCAGAGGCATGGAAACATTTTGATAGAACATACCCTGAGTTTGCGATAGAGCCTCGAAACATCATGTTAGGTCTCTGTGCTGATGGATTTGCCCCATTTGGAAAATCAGGGAAAAGTTATTCATGTTGGCTAGTTATCTTAACTCCGTACAATCTTCCACTCGGTATGTGCATGAAGACACCTTATATGTTTTTGACATTGATCGTGACCGGCCCGCAAAATCCGAAAAAGTTGATAGATGTTTATATGCAACCATTGATTGAAGAGTTACAACGGCTATGGAATGAAGGTTCGTTACGTATGATGTTTCTACTAATCAAACATTTGTAATGAAGGCTGCTCTTCTTTGGACGATAAATGACTTTCCAGCATATGGAATGTTATCTGGATGGAGTATAGCTGGGATCTTAGGATGCCCGATATGTTTGCAGAGATCAAAGTCATTCAGATTAAGACATGGTAAGAAGCCCTGCTATTTTGACTGTCACAGACAATTTTTGCCGATGAATCATACATTCAGAAGGAATAAAAAAGAGTTCATCAAGAATAGGATTGAAAGAACTCCTCCACCATTGAGGTTGACCGGTGATCAAATATGGGAGCAAGTGCATGACTTTCCAACTGTTGTTGAAAACCCTCATGGCACAACTATTGCGTATGGAAGTGTACATAAGTGGACTAAACGCAGTATATTTTGGGATCTACCATATTGGAAGGCCCATCTTATTCATCATAATCTTGACGTCATGCACATTGAAAAGAATGTTTTCGACAATGTCATAAATACTGTGATGGATGTCACGGGAAAAATAAAAGACAACTTGAATATAAGAAAAGATATGAGAAATATTTGTGATCGGCCAACATTAGATGTGGATGCAAGCAGCAGGGGACCAAAACCAAAAGCAGTTTATACATTGGATAAGGAGCAGAGACGAGTCGTTTGTCAATGATTGAAATCTGTGCGGTTTCCTGATGGATATGCTTCGAATATCGGGAGATGTATTGATTTGAACGAATGCAAGTTGACAGAATTAAAGAGTCATGATTGTCACATATTTATGGAAAGACTAATTCCAATAGCTTTGAAGGAACTTCTACCAAACTTTGTATGGGGCGCCATTACAGAGTTAAGTAATTTCCTTCATGATATTTACTCAACAATGTTAAAAGCATCACACATGGAGAAACTGAAGAGAGACATTCCAATTATTCTTTGCAATTTAGAAAGGATATTTCCTCCATCGTTTTTTTATTCAATGGAGCATCTCTTAGTTCACTTGCCTTATGAGGCCAAAGTTGCGTGTTCCGTCAATTTCGATGGATGTATCCATTTGAGAGGTAAAAAATTTTCAAAATAAATTTCAAAATACTTTATTATATATTATGTTCGATAAACTTCTTTCTATTGCAACAAGGTTCTTATATCATTTGAAGAAAAAAGTGAAGAATAAGGCATGTATTGAAGCTTCAATTTGTAATGCATATATTGTGGAAGAAGTGACAATATTTGCATCATACTAATTTGAGCCGCACGTGCAGTGCAAGAGGCGGAGAGCAGGAAGAAATGATGAAGGTCCCATCGATCCCAATTGCAAATCATTCTCTATTTTCAATTATCTTGGTCGACCAAGCGGCGCATGTCAGTTTCGTTGCTTAACAGGCGAAGAACGGCAGGTAGCCCATACCTATATTTTACTGAACTGTCCAGAAGTGGAGCCATACTTCCAGTAAGTGTATATTTGTAAATATATGTATTGCGTGTCAAATATTTACTAATATATAAATGTAAATTGTTAATAGGATTTTTCAAAATTCAATGTATGGACTACCGCCAAATGAGTTCGACCGTTTGTGCGATGAACAATTTGCAGCATGGTTCAAAACATATGTAAGTTGCCTATAGACCAAAACCAAGTTATTAATATTTTATACATCATTTAAATATATATTATTGACTTTGCGTGTGTAATCTTAGGTTCACAGTAATCATGATCAAGTTGAAGAGCAAGGATTGCTATATTATCTGTCATGGGGTGCACAGTCAAGCATACGAACTTGGCCAGCATATTTCATAAACGGGTATAATTTTCACACTCAAGAATATGGAATGGGAAAAGCCACAATGAATAGTGGTGTGTGTGTTCGGTCATCCAATTGTGGTAGTTCAAAAGATGATTTTTTATGGCTTGTTGGATGAAATCATCGAGATAGAGTACCCCGGACCATTAATGCGGGTTGTGTTATTTAAGTGCATGTGGTTCGACCCCATCAAAGGAATGAAGGTGCATACGAAGTTTAATTTGGTTGAAATAAATCACAAGAAAAGGTATAAGAAATATGAACCATTTGTGTTGGCACAACAAGCAATTCAAGTATATTATGCATCATATCCTAGTTTGAAACGTGACAAAGCTGATTGGTGAGCTGTATGTAAAACCAAAGCACGAAGAAAAATCGAGGAACACTGGAAGGATACAGCATATCAACAAGAGGAAGTTTGTAACGCGGTTCAAATTGAGGAATATAACATTCCTACTTTACGAGATCCATGTGGAGCAATGATAGATGTAGATCTAACTGAAATTCGCGAATCAAATTTAGAAGGTGTTGCATAATCTGATTTTGAGACAGAGGATGATGAGGATGATGAGGATGATGATGATGATGATGATGACGATAATGACGACGATGACGATGATGCTCAAGAAGAAGATCAAGATCAAGATGAAGACGAAGGTGAAGATGAATATTTAGATTTTTTAGACTTTTTACTAATTATGTTGTAATTATTATTATTATTATTATGACAAAAGTTTATTGTTGTTGTCGTAATTATTAGTATTGTTGTTGTTGTTGTTGTTGTTATTATTATTGTAATTGTTGTTGAATATTATTATTGCTATTATTGTTAATGAAACGTTATTGTCCGGAAAAAAAATGAATTACGCGGGTGTGGGATAGTAGAAATGAAATTCGTGGCAAAAATCCGTGGCAAATTTGCCACGGGATTTTAAAAAAATCCCACAAACATGAATAATTTTGGGCTTTTTACGAAATTCGTGGCTAAAATCCGTGGCAAATTTGCCACGGATTTTAGCCACGAATTTCGTAAAAAAATCCACAAACATGAATAGTTTTCGGCTTTTTTACGAAATTCATGGCAAAAATCCGTGGCAAATTTGCCACGGATTTTAGCCACGAATTTCGTAAAAAAAATCCCACAAACATGAATAATATTGGGCTTTTTACGAAATTCGTGGCTAAAATCCGTGGCAAATTTGCCACGGATTTTAGCCACGAATTTCCTGAAAAAAATCCCACAAACATGAATAATTTTGGGCTTTTTACGAAATTCGTGGCAAAAATCCGTGGCAAATTTGCCACGGATTTTTGCCACGAATTTCCTGAAAAAATCCCACAAACATGAATAATTTCGGGCTTTTTACGAAATTCGTGGCAAAAATCTGTGAATTTCGTAAAAAGCCCAAAATTATTCATTTTTTGGGATTTTTTCAGGAAATTCGTGGCAAAAATCCGTGGCAAATTTGCCATGAATTTTTGCCACGAATTTCTTGAAAAAATCCCAAAAACATGAATAATTTTGGGCTTTTTACGAGTCGTGGCAAAAATCCGTGGCAAATTTGCCACGGATTTTTGCCACGAATTTCCTGAAAAAAATCCCACAAACATGAATAATTTTGGGCTTTTTACGAAATTCGTGGCTAAAATCCGTAGCAAATTTGTCACGGATTTTTGCCACGAATTTCCTGAAAAAATCCCACGAATTTTTGCCGCGTTCTTCGGCGGCGGACGCTGGGAAGCGAGGACACCCAGCGCGCGGTCTGCTTCTGTTGGGTTTTTCGGCGGCGTCCGAGAGTGTTCGGTCTGCTTCTGTTGGGAAGCGAGAGGTACGTTTGCTTGGGTTTGCTTTTCGGCGTTATTTCTAGGCGATTGCGTCTGCTTATGCTTCTGTTCTAATATTTGTGTTGGGTCTACAATTGGGTCTACTTCTGCTTATGCTTCTGTGCTTCTGCTTTTGCTTCTGTGCTTCTGCTTCTGTGTTGGCTGGCTTCTATGTTGGGTCTGCTTCTGCTTCGTTCTGTTCGTGGGCGAAACAGTTATGTTTTGTGGGCGCTTACGTGGCTTCGCTACGTATTGGGTCCGCTTACGCTCGTGTTGGGTGCTTTCGCTTCGTTCTGTTCGTGGGCGAAACAGAATTCTGTTTCTATTTCGCCCATGAATTTGATTCTGTTCGTGGGCGAAACAGACCCAATCTGTTTCGCCCACGAAACAGAATCAAATTCCTCATATTTAAGTTGAAATTTGGTCGGATTTAGGTTGAAATTTGGTCGAAATGAGCTGAAATTTGGTCAAATTTGGGTTGAAATTTAGTTGAAATTCATTTGAAATTTGGTCGGAATGAGGTGAAATGTGATCGAAATGAGCTGAAATTTGGTCGGTCAAGTGGAAACGGCCCGCTGATCCAAAATCACCGCCTATGGCCGTGTCGCAAGTCGTTTTTTGGCTTTTTGGAGTCGTTTAGATGGGTTTTTTTGGCAAAAAACGATTATGATGAATAGTGTTTTTCATGACATTTGCGTTTTTTTTTTCTTTTCGGAGTCGTTTAGATGGGTTTTGAAAACTATTTCCAAACCTTCTTTGGCATAGGTTGAAGCTTTGGCCATCGGGGTAAAACTATTTCCGTGACATTTGGGTTTTCTGGAATGGCTCCCTTCGGGGTAAAGCCTTATAATTACTTGTTCAAAACTTATTGATTTCCTTGTTGAAGTTGATATATTCATTTTAAAGGGATATGTGCACCATAAAACATGCAATCAAAACTTATTAAAATTTGTTGAACAGAACTTACTTGATTTCCTTGCATCATAAAATTTGTTGTGAAAGTGTAACTTATTAAGTTCTAAGGCTTTCAAAGCATGCAATTAAATTTTAAGACAAGTCGAATTACAGCAATTAACTGAAAATTTGATGACCCTGACCAGCTAGATGAGTTCTCCCTTTTTTACAGTTGTAGGACCAAAAATTTAGCTCGTAGACATTTCCGGACAGCTTCCTTTTTTTTCAGGGGCCACGTTTCTCTCTTGCTCTCAATAACAAAATGGTAAGCTTCACGACATACGTCATTATGTGTCCTTAATACATGTTCATAATTTTTTACATTTTTGTCTAACCTTGCAACTTTTAGTATAAACGTGGAGGTCACATGCGTCGTGGTGATGCTTCACAAAGAAGACCAGGCCTTTCCACTTCCTCGTCCTCGTCCTCGTCCCTTTCCATTTCCCCTGCCCCTGCCCCTGCCCCTTCATCTAACCCTCAACTAGTACATGGACACATTGGCCCTTCCTCCGACCCTCAAATGCGAACTGAATTTACTTCAGTTCCATCGGCTTCGGTTCCACCTTCTTCTTCAACGCAACACTCGAATTATGAAGAAGATACCCGATTCATGATAGCCCCATTTGGAGATTCGTAAGTATTTCATTTTTTTAAGTATATGTGAATTATTATGGATGTCAACTGAATTGTCCGTATGCTTCACGGATGCTACGTATGTTGAAATAAGTTATAACCCGTTTGCAGATTCACGGATGCTACGCATGTTGTGAGGAGACTTAATAAAATAATCAATAACTATTGGATGGGCAGTATAGTAGTTGGACCACCGCTCCAAAAGAAGTAAAGGAATTGTGGTGGAATGAGTTCAAGGTAAGTTTTGTCCTTCTATTTCCTCACAAACTAAGTTCGATTTAGCATACTGAGTGTACAATTATTTTTCTATTGATTGCTTGCAGCGGAAGTTCAGGTGGGATGAAGCGGAAGAGAAAGAAGTTAAAAGAATTTTTAAGAAGAAAGCCGGTGATCACATGCGAAATGTGATGAATAAAGCAAAGAGAAAGCAAGAAAAGCCGGATTTTATTACAGCTGACAATTGGGCGGAAATTATGAGAACTTGGGACACTGAAAAGCATAAGCAAATCAGTGAAATTAATAAGAAGAATCGAGCTTCTAGTTCTAGTGAAGGGTCTGCCACATATGCTGGGGCTCTATCAACATCGGGGAGCGTAGAAAAAGAATGGTTAGTCTTTTAATCATGTGTAAGTTAAATCAATAATTATGTCGTAATTATGTCTATATTTTGTAGGCAGATGAATTGGGGACGGAACCAACATTTATGGCTACATTTGAACGCACCTTTCAGAAAAAAGATAAGACATGGACTGGCAATCGAGCAAAAGCTATTAAGGTATGTAAGGTTATATTTTGTATTTATATATATTAAGTTTTTTTATTTTTATCTATATTGTTAATGTAGGACAAATATGATGAACTTGTAATGAGCACGGTTGCTGCTAGTGGTGATGGTGATGGTGATGGTGTTGCTGCGTCCGAGCCATCGGTTGACAGTATGGCATTATGGATGGAGGCATCGGGTGGAATGAGAAGAGGTCAAATATTTGGGATGGGATCCTTGTCAAGAATGTACTGAACGCCGAGAATTTGCTGCAACTTCATCCTCCGGCGGCTTTTTAAGGGCACAACACGAGGAGCGACACGACCAAGCATTGAACCGCCTGAGACAATTACTTGTACAGAAGGACGAAGAAATGATAGGAGTGAAACAACGTTTGCAATTGATCATGCGACACCTCAACCTCGAAGTTGATGACGTTCCTCCTGTACCTCCTACTAATCCAGTAGGTGATGGCCACAATGATGATGATAATGAGATTCCTGATGATGATGCTGATGATGATGATGATCCTTGCTAGTTTAAATTTCCAAGAGGTACTTATATCTTTATGCTTCTGCTGTTGAATAGATGTGAAAAAATTAACAGGGGTTAGGAGTTTGATATTGTGATGTTTGCGCTGCAGATGGACAGGACTTCGATTCTTGGAGAACACTATAGACAACATGAAAGAACTTCTTGGCAAGATTAACAGTTTGCCTCAACAGTTTGTGAACTAGCTAATTTAGAACTTTGTTTCATTTCTTTCTTTTTGGGGTTTGTTCTTGTCTTGACTGTGATTTTCTATCAATGTTAATTAGATTTCAAATCGAAATCGTCCCTAAACAACATTCGTCCCTAAATTATTCATTAAAATTCGTCGCCAAATTCGTTTTCGAATAATGTTTATCGCAAAAGTCAAAATTTTTCGTGGCAAAATAATGACCAAAATTTTTTTTTTTGGCAAATTAGCCACGAATTTTGCAACGAATAAGTTCGTCGCAAAAAACCGACAAAAAAAAAATATGGTCCCAAATTAGCCACGAATTTTGTTTGTGGCAAATTAGCCACGAATTTTAGGCACGAAGAATTACGTCGCAAATAATTCAAAAATAAATTTTGCTCGCAAATTAGCCACGAATTTTGCCACTAAATGTGTTCGTGGCAAATTACCCACGAATTTTGCCACGAATAAGTTCGTCGCAAATAATTGAAAAAAAAAAATTTGTGGCAAATTAGCCACGACTTTTGCCACGAAATGCGAGAAATTTTGCCACGGATAATTAGCAACGATTTTTGCCACGAAATATTTCGTCGCAATTTCGCGACCAACAAAAAAAATAATCAAAATAATAGTGACGACTTTTGCCACGAATAGATCTAGTGGCAAATTACCGACGAATTTTGCCACGAATATTTAGCCGAAGTTTGCCACGAGTAATTAGCGACGAATTTTGGCACGAATAATGTTCGTGGCAAATTAGAGACGGAAGTTTGCCACGAATAATGTTCATGGCAAATTAGCCACGAATTTTGCCACGAATAATTAGCGACGAATTATTTTTCGTTGCAAATTAGCCACGAATAATTAGCGACGAATTTTGCGACGAATTTTTTTCGTCGCAAATTAGCCACGAAAATTGAAATTTTCCGTGGCAAAATTTTGCGACGGCCTATTAGCGACAAATTTTTTTCCGTCGCTAAACCCGGCTTTTTTTGTAGTGTTGGGTTTGCTCTTTCTTCGATCAAGAGGAAGTCCTGGAAGTCTCTCTGGTGAAAATCGACGCCGGTGAATGTGCTTCACACGAGAATGAACTGCAACGATGTCAGAAGTAAAATTGTCCAGGAATTTTCTAGAATCCGAACATGAAATCGAAAATGTTTACATATAGGAAAATTGATGTGACATTGAAGGGACTTCCTCCCCTGATAATAATAGTAACTCTAGCCAAACGTATAATATACGTTTTTGGGGTCATTTTAAAGTGAGTGCTCTTGGCATACTTGTGTTAAATATAATTGATATGGCAATTAATTCAATCTCCAAAAGTAGTGATTATACATAACGCGAGAGTAATCATAGCATTAAAAAATTGGAAGTTTTTTCATACCACCTTCTTTCCCTCTCTCAACTTCCCAACATACGTTGGCAGCTCTAAACTGTATCACAGCAGTATCTCTAGCTATGATGGTGGGGGTGATGGGTTTGGTCTAGGGTCTCTGCTTTTTGTGGCACTTTTCTTTGTTTTGTACACTTTCTTGTGATTGAACCCATAATGAATTGGACTGTTTGTGTTTCGAATTGAAGCGAGATTGTCTAGGTTTCTATACTTGCCATTATGAAGAAGGTAGCAAAGTATAACTTTCTTCTTTTTGTTTTTCAATGAGAGACCATAATTTGTAAAATCAAAGCGACAAGTATTGGCTATTGTTGGCACCTAAAATTTTGTTCAAAGATTTTCCTTGCTCTTTAAAAAATCAAAGAGACTTAAAGACTAATTGATAAGCTAATGGTTGGAAATTAAAGGGACAATGCCATAATTTGTTCATGTACTTTTCTTCAATGTTCAATTTGGTCCTTATGTTCTTTCAATGGGCCAATTTATTCCTTCAATTTGATTTGGTAAGATTGGCATCTGACATGGCAATCCAACTTCGTCATGGGACTCGTGTTTGTTGATGTGTTTTTACACGTGAGTGCCAAATCAACAAAAATTGTAAAAAAAAAAGACAAACAAAAGAGGAAAATAAATTAGAAAGAAAGAACATACATGAACTAAAGGACAACACAAGCTGGAAAGAGAAAGGGGGTTCCGTTGAGTGATGCTGTGCAGCTGTGTTCTTTTCTTGATCACATATCTCCTTTGATGGCGTCGTTAAGTACTAAGTCACATGCTCTATATTCTAAGCTCTATATTCTAAGGGTATGTTTGTTTGAGTGAAATAAGTTTCCACAAATTGATTTCTAGATTTTTTCACGTGTCTGGTTTGTTGAAAATGATTAGTCAATGGAAACTATTTGCAGGAAAAAGAAAATATGTAGGCTTAAAGTTAGGAGAATAAATTCCCTAATAGGAAAAGGAGAAAACATTTTCTTTTATTATGAAATTTTCCTCGAAACAAATACACCCTAAGATGAATTTTTTAAGTAGTGAACATGTGCTTATTAATTCTACGTTACCTTCAATGTCATAAACAACTGACCAAAGGCGACAACCAGCGTTGTCACGCCCCGAACCCTACGAGCACGCAACATCCCACTATGGTCGTTATGATGCAATGTCCCAAGACTCGTCGCCGACCCTTTCATTTTATCGTTCTTTTTATTACACATGCGGAAGTGGTAACAACCAACACCTAGACAACCACCATAAACAGGGATAGGTAGGAAAATGATTCACAACAATCAAACAACAACACCATTTTAAAAATTACTTGATTAACCCCTAGGAAACATTTTCTTTACAAGCCCACTTCGGGCATTTTCACACGAGCCTACAAAACGATACCAGGTTGGGGGTCAATCTACTTCATCAATAGGTCAGTCCAAAAAGCCAGCTTCTAGGCACCCCGAACCATACTGAGGGCATCGACATGCGAAGGTCCTAAAAGATGTTAACAACAACAAATGAGACGAAAGTCTCAATAAGTTAACGGCCTAAGCCCCGTTTAGGAGGCCAACTCGCCTCAGGGTTCCTAGATAGGCAACCACACATAGAATACGGATCAACCACATACCGTTTAACAATCACAAGCATCCTTACCTCGCCTTGGCACATGTGTCATGCATGACCGTAGTCATCAAACATCACAATAATGCATCCAGCATAACACGTACTCGGAACACAAAGAAATTTCCCATGCATCATGCATCCACACTCGCGCGTGTCTCGATTATAAGGTAAAAACCGCTTGGACACGTCCCATATCATGCCTAGTAGTTTTCACCCCATAATCAAGCACTATGCAACATGCGTGTTTCATTTATCACGACCCCTCTGGGCCACTACACATCAAGCGATACACAGCAAGATGGTAGTCTTCCGGCATGACCGGGCATCGTCCCGCCCAGTCGGGCACGACAACGTCAAACGATGTACAAGATGACGTCATTCCAATATGGCAACATCAAATAATCTATAGTAAGATGGTATCCCATAACGAGCATCAAATTCACCATCAGGCCGCGATTCAGCATCCGAAGTATCGGCAATCCCGATAATCTCTAGGCATCCGATAAAATCGAGCGCGATCTACAACAAACCTCGATAAATCGGGCATCGTCAAGCGATTTACAGCAAGACGGCTTCGACATGTGACCACACGAACACACAAGCATTCAGGCCAATTCTTATCTTTTCAATTAGCCAATGCAAACATGGATCGTGCTCGAATCAATGCCACACACAATTTCACGTGATCACATATGCAAACAGTCGCTTGACTTTGTAAAAACATCATTTCAAAACATGCTTTCCTTCTCAAGGCATCAAAATCATTTCTTTAACATAACTATAAAATAATTTATTTTCAAAGATACAAAATCTTTTCTTGAAAATAATCAAGCAATTTATTTAGCTATACAAGTTAAATTTATATGGCGATTTCTAACATTGGCATTACAATCCAAGTATAAAACAATCACAATTTGGTACTAAAAATTATTCGAAAATACTAATATTTAATTTTCCGAATTTAAATATTTTATTAACAAATATATATTTTTAAGAATAAAATATTATTATTTAATTCCGAAAATTAATTTATTTAATAAAATAAATAATAATAAAATAATAGATAACTTATCATTAAAATAGCGATAACTTATCGCGAACACAACAATAACCTTTCACGATATCACCGATAACCTATCGTCAATTTCACCGATAACCTATCACCGATTTCCAATGATAACTTATGAGTCCAACGATAACCTATCATCCATGATTATCAAATAATTCGTCGATAACTTATCCACTAATTCTATTTAAACAACCATTAACTTAATCTAAAACTAAATTAAACTACCATAAGCAAGTTTAACACCCTAAACACGGGATTAGGAGTTAACTTACTCGTCTAACTACGGCGATTATGCGAGAACAACGGCGACGACGCGACTGTCCACGGTGGTTTCCTATTTGGGCTCGACGGACGGCGGCAAATGAGCGCGGCTAAGGCAGCGGCTGCTGTGGGGCTATTCGGAGGCTGCTCGGGGCTGTTCCTAGTGTGAAATGGCGG